CGCCGCCGCCGCAGAGCCCCGCCGGCCCTGGCCTTTGCCCCACAGTGGCGCCGACGACCTGCTGCCCATCCTGTCCTTCGTGGTGCTGAGAAGCGGCCTGCCCCAGCTAGTGTCGGAGTGTGCAGCCCTGGAGGAGTTCATCCACGAGGGGTGGGCGCCCGCGGCGGGGGCCTGCTGGCGTCCGCAGGGGCCTCCTGGGCCTTGGCTGACCGGCGGTGCCGCCCACGCAGGTTCCTGGTGGGAGAGGAAGGCTACTGCCTGACCTCGCTGCAGAGCGCCTTGAGCTGCGTGGAGCTGCTGCCCGACGGGCCCTGGGCCAGTGGCGGGCGAGGACGCGACCCGCCAGGGACGGAGCCCCCAGCGCCGGGGGCTGCGGCTCTGCACCCCTGCCCGCACCCCACATCTGCTGCTGCGGGCAGGGGCTGAGCCGGCCGGCCCCTGGGGCCGGTCCCCCACCAAGCCTCTGAGAGGCCTGTGCAGGGCAGCCAGAGGGGCCGTGGCTGTGCCGCCCGCCCGCCCGCCCGCCCGCGGCGGATACTCCGGTCTGGGCCGGCTTCTTGCTGCAGTCCAGAGGCGAGCCCAGCACTCTGTCGCCAGAGACCGGGCAGGTGGCTCGGAACTGTTCTTATTTATTGGGCGACGACCACGCTCCCCTGAGGACCAAGCCGCCCTTCCACACTCGCGACCCCTGTCCTGGTTGGTGTGAGCCTGAGGTCAGCCCGCGGCCCCGTGCCCGCGGCCCCGTGCCCGCGGCCCCGTGCCAAGGCTGGAATAAAGGCATGATGTCTCACTGCAAGCAGCTCACTGGCTTCCCCTGCTGCTGCAGGCTGGAGCCACAGGGCCCCTGACAGGCGGCACCATTCCCGGGGTCACGTGCGCCCCCAAACCACACCTGCCCTGACCTGCGTGCGCAGGACGCACCCCTGAGACCGCTCATGCCGCCCCTGCCCTGGAGGGTGCCCTCTGCAGAGCCTGGTGGGCTGGGCGCAAGCCAGCGTCCATCCCTGGCAAGAGCTGGAAGGGCCTCAGGACCCTCCCGTGGGGCACAGGGGCACCCTGCGGGAGGAAGCGGGTGCCACCCTGCAGTGGGCTGCGGGCTGTGAAGCAGAGACCCACTGCGGGGTGGCGGGGGGGGCTGTCCAGGGGAGACCAGCCCATGTGAGTGGGCTTGCCTCCGGCTCCTCTGCCAGGTAGCTCCCACCCCTGCAGGGGCCTTTGGGGACCTCCCGCTTCCAGCCCCCCTGCCCCCCGCGGCTGCGGCCCTGCAGGGCCCCAGCTGCCCGGCCCAGGACCCGACACCACGGCCCTCCAGCCCTGCCTGCCCCCTTCTGCCCAGGAGCCCCTGGCCACCTGTGCTGCGTCCCCAACGCGGACCAAGATCTGCTCACTGCTGTGTCGGCGGGGCGGGACCCCCAAGAGAGCGCAGGCGGGGCAGCATGCCCGGCCTTCCGCATCAGCGGGCCTGCGGCCCCTCCGCAAACAGCCCATAAGCGCAGGCGGGGAGCACCTCGAGCAGCAGGGGACGCCGCGGCCTGAAAGGGTGCTAGAGGCTGCAGCAGCCGGAGGCGCGCACCGGGAGCAGACAGCCTGCGGCTGGGAGGTGCGAGCCAGCGCGGGGCCGCCCCTTCCGGGGGGCGCATGCGCGGCAGCCGCCAGCGGGCGTCCCGGGCAGGGCCAGAGGTCCGGGGGTCCATGGGAACCGAGAGCAGGCCCTGTGGGGTTTGGCCGTGGCGGGCAGCAGCCGACTGTCACCTTGGCCACTGTCACCAGCAAGCATCCCGCTGGGCGCTTGGCTCAGCAACCTGGGGGGGCGGGGTGTGGCCACGGAGCCTCTGAACAGCCTGCCTGTGCCCACCCGGTGCCTCACCCCGGCTGATCAGCTTCCCAGTCAGAGCAGCCCACGCAAGGACTGGACCCCTGTGAGGCTGGACACGTGCCCCCGTGGGCGCTGGGCAGCTGGGCTGGCACAGCTGCGACTCTGCACCCTTCCCTGGGGCTGTTGTTACCCAACACCAGTGAGTACGGCCTGGACCTCGCCAGAAGTCTGTGGGACGTGGAGTGCGCCCAGCCACAGCGCCATTCCCCACCGTCTCCTGTGTCCACGTCTTCGCAGAAGCTGCCTGCCACGTGGCTGCGCCCACCTTTGCCCAGCTGACCTTTTAACTAGATCACATGCAGGGTCCGTTTCCAAATCCTCTTCCATTCTCAGGGCCAGGGGCCGTGAGTTCGCTGCCATGCCCCCGTCCAGTGAGAGCTGTCCCGGAGGCGTCTCCTCCTGCTCGTCTGTCAGGCCCAATGGGCGTCTCTGGACGGGGTGGAGGGGCTGGCATTTTGGGAGCGGGCCCAGGAGCAGCTCATTCTGTCCAGGAGTGGAGGCTGGGGCAAAACCCTGCCTGGAGTCTCTCCTACCAAGAACAGCCATGTGTCCAGGAGTGCCAGGCAGCAGTTCCCACGCTGTGACCTGGAGTCCCGGCGCCGGGGGCAGGTGCCCAGCAGTAGGTGATCCAGCGCAGAGCTCTGTGCGCGCAGCACCAGGGGGCACGCAGCTCAGCCCGCTGGACAGAAACTGGAGGAAGGGTCAAATGCGCCCTGCGCAGAGCCAGGCTATGGCCAGGGGCGATCGCGAGGAAGCCAGGTAACCTAGCGCAGGACAGAGCAGCGGAAACCACGGCTTGGAAAGTCAGAAGTCCCGGGAAAACTGGCCCAGCTCTGACCTGGTGATCCTCAGGCACGCCTGGGCCCTGTGCGTCCTCAAGAGCGGCGGGGTGATGGCCACGGAAGACAGGAGGCGACTCTGCAGGGTGGAGGGGGCTGCCCCCCCCCCAGACTGCAGCTTCAAACCTCGGGTCTCGGCTGCGCGACGGGTGCCCACCTGGCGGGCCGGCTCCGCCCCGTCGCCCAGCGGCATGGCGCCCCGAGGGACGCCTCGGAGGGCCTC